AGACGGAATTTTCCGTCTAGGATGCCTAATTTTTTAGCAGTGAAAAAAGTTGATGGTTATAATTATGATGATGGTGATTATGAGAAAAAAAGGACATAAGAAACAATTTCAAGCAGATCAAATACAAAGCAAAAGCAAATATAGTACTCTGGTATGATGTAATTTTGATCTAATTGCCTAAATTTACAAGAAAAACATGAAACGATCCATCAAGAATTTGGTCTTTCCCCCATTAAAGAAGTCTTTCTCGTCGGAGGAGATAATATGGTGAGGGTAAAAAAATAAAATTTTCTTGTCTATAATAGGAGATTCTCAAACTTTACTCCAAAACGAAATCCATTTATTATAATTCTGAGATAAAATTCTCATTATGACTACAAATCACAACAATCATTAAATTAGCAGATAAAAGTGAATTCTGGATCATCTGATTTTTTCCATCACCTTGAAATATAACACAATTTGTTAAAGTGAAAAATATAATCCTCAGCTCTCACTACAACTTTAGAGTTTTGATGTAATTGTTAGGAACTTTAAATAGTATCAAAGCAATCCAAGTTCAACTCCCATTGACCTCTCAACTCTCACCACAACATCAGAGTTTTATCGTAATGATTAGGAACTTTAAGAGATATAACCTGCAATAAAACTCAAGAAACAAGAAGAATATGAAAAATACACCATATGCCAAATCTTTTAATTTTTAATTTTTTTTTTCCATTTTGAGAATAAAAAGCCAAACCTAACTACCTCTACTTTGTTGGGATTATGTCTTTGATTCTTTGTATACCTTCATGATAATTAGTTAGTGTTAGAGATCTATCATGATTAGGAGATCTCATCATGATTAGGAGTTTGAAACCTATTCTAATTAGGAAGTTAGACTAGAGATAAAGTTTTAGTTTCCCTATACATATTCTTCTATTGTTGGAGGAAAAACTAAACAGATGAGAGAGAGCCAATATTCTTGTAATTTAGGGTTAGCAGATTGTGTAGCCTGATTCAAAAATATTATACGAGAGGCGAGGGTTTCGTAGTTCTTATCCGTACAAAAGATTACATCATTGGGAGAGAATTTCACAGTCTTTGTCCGTTCAAAAGATTGTAAGGATAGGACTTTGGAGATAATATGGGAATTGATTATGTATGTGAGGTTGAGAGATGAAACACGAGAGTTGAGTGGTTCCTATTGTAGTTCTCCCTGATACATAGTTGATTTCTCGTATTGTTGCCTGTGGACGTATGTCGAAGTTAGTCGACTGAACCATATAAACCTCGGTATTCTTTCTTCTTGATTGTGGGTATTTTATATCTTATTGATTGTGGGTTGGCTTCTAAACTGCATAAATCGTAGTAGGCGGGGAGACTAAAATTCTCAACAAGTGGTATCAGAGCTATGTTGATGGATCTGGAAGCGAGTTCGCAAGATAGAAAATGACGTCGTGCAAGATTAAAGATTAGCGTTACAAGAATCTAAGATGAAGAAGAAAAAAAGGAGGAGAAGATAGTCAGGGGTGGAGAACGATCAATAGAAGAGAATCCTGGACTTGGCGGCAAGGCGGCAGCGCGTCAGCAGTGATTTGTGTGAAGAAAAGGAGTAGAAGAGCACGTGACCAATCACGTGAGAGGTGAAGTCACATCAGCCAATACTTTTCATGCGAGAAAAGTAGAGACCCATATAGATGTTCTTGGGATTTGATCCATGTGTGATGTCAAACACATAACAGGGAAAAGAATGATTGCTATTCAAGAAAGAAATCACATGATTGAGGATACAATGATCACGTGTCTGACTTAATTGGAGTTTGGTGTTTTGGATCAAAATTCAACGAATGAGGTTGATTGGAGTGTAGATGGCCAAATCGATGGTGGATTTTGGCGATCTAGTAGTCGATTCCGAGGTTTTGGAGTGCTTTGAATGCGATGGGAGGGTTTAATTTTTTAGATTTTATTCAGATTAGCCAGAAGGTGCTGAAAAGTTCTAATGGTGATGATGAGATAGATTTGATGGCAGATAGGACAAACGAGTATGCGACAGATAAGATTGATGTAAAGAATCAGATATGGTTCTAGCAGTAGAGTTATCGGTATATAATTATTCAGAGTCATCGTATGAGCAGTAGTTGGTTGGTGTGTAGACTCGAGGAGGACAATGCCAGATTAAGTGGAGCTTGCAAGCAAGAATGACTGAGTGACACATATACTGATGAATATGGTGGCATTAGACTTGAAGATGATGAGCGCTCATATTTGGTTCAAGCCAAGTGATGAAGAAGATGGAGGTATGTGACTCGTAGTGTGGAGTAGGAAAGATGCACCGATATAATTCGAGACGAGCGATGCAGGTGGAGTACGAGGATAACAAGTGGGGGAAGACTATTGTTAAGTTCAGATTGGGAGAAGAAGTATGGTTGATTTACTTCTAATGTCAGAGGTGGCGAAGATCTCTTAGTGCGCATAAGAGATGTAGAGGTGCCACAACGAGGCAGATGAAAGTGAGGGTCATAAAGACATTCAGTTGGAGTGCAAGTGCTTTGATTTGAAGTGCGAAAGGAATAAAAGACTCTAGCGGGAGAGACAAAGTTTCAAGATGACGATGATATATCTTCCAGGGAGTTTAGGAATCAAATCAAATGTGGAGATTGTTAGGATTATGTCTTTGATTCTTTGTATAACTTCAGGAGAATTAGATATGGTTAGAGATCTATCTCGATTAGGAGATTGAGTCTTATCATGATTAGGAGTTTGAAACCTATTCTAATTAGGAAGTTAGACTAGAGATAGGGTTTTGGTTTTCCTATATATACTCTTTTATTATTGGAGGAAAAACTAAGCAGAGGAGAGGAAGCCGATATTCTTGTAATTTAGGGTTAGCAGAGGACGTATCCTGATTCAAGAATATTGTGCGAGAGGCGAGGGTTTCGTAGTCCTTATCCATGCAAAAGATTACATCATTAGGAGAGGGTTTCACAATCTTTGTCGGTTCAAAATATTGTAAGGATAGGGCTTTGGAGATAATATGAGAGTTGATTACGTATGTGAGGTTGAGATATTAGAGATGAGAGTTGAGTGATTCCTATTATAGTTCTCCCTGATACATAGTGAATTTCTCGTATTGTTGCCCGTGGATATAGGTCGAAGTTGGTCAATTGAACCACGTAAATCTCGGTGTTATTTCTTCTTGATTGTGGTTATTTTATATATTATTGATTGTGGGTTGGCTTCTAAGTTGCGCAAATCGTACTAGGCGGTGAGACTAAAATTCCCAACATACTTCTCGACTGCTTCAAACCACATGTAAAATCACCATCTAAATTTTGGACATAAACCAAAAACCAAAATTCCTTTCATCAATTCTTTAGACCCTTCACAATCTTAAGGGAAAAAGTAAAACACAATAATGTTCTGATCAAAAGGCTGTAAAAGTGGCCAACTTTGATCTCCTAGAATCTATCTCTATTTAGGACAAAAACAGAGGAGAAAATGTTGTTTGGTTAGTTAGCATCATTATTAGAAGAGATGAAGAAAGTAAAAGTTTTCCACTTTATAATCTACACTCTTTGAGCCATTGGCATTTGTAGCAGTTAATTACTTTCTGCTATCAAAATGTTCTTTTTTCTGAAGTTCATGCCAATTTTGAGCTGGATTTTGGTCTCTAATGCAAATTGAGCAACTGATGAGATGGGTTTTCTTCTATTGAGAAAATACATGCTAAAAGCTCAGACTTTCTGCTCTCTGCTGGTGTATCTTTTGACCACAAGTTCCGCAGTTTTTTTATTGCAGCAAGAAATGAGGCACTGAAGTCAGTAATTTGAAATGTGGGTCTCATTTCAACAGTGCATCTTGTCACGCACTGAGCCCATTGGTACAGTATAAGCCGTGGGGTCCACTAAGTGTAGCGTATTGTTTAGGTCAAATCAGTGTTAATATAGACTAGTCGATGCTGTACTTAAGTCTTTAGCTTGGCTATTTAAACTCTTAAATTCTCTTATAACCCAACGATATGAGACTGTCTTTGGGGTCTCACAATCACCTCACTTTACATATATGACACCTTCATCGCAACATGACGATTGACACATCCCGGCATCAGGTGGCTCCTACAGGCTTTAGAGGTTGCTCCCGCCATGCTCACACGGTGTAGCATTACTCCAGAATAGCAATGAGCTTTACATTTCCAGCTAGCAAACTGCTTTGATAGTATTAGTCACACCCAGGGCCCGCAGGCCCATTGACATGGTGTAAGCCGTCGGATCTACTGAATGTATCATGTTGTTTAGCTCAAATTACTACCAAAATTGACTAGCCAATGCTACATTTAAATCTTTAGCTTATCTATTTAAATCCTCAAATTCTCTTATAACCCGCTAATGTGGGACTATCTTTGGGTCCCAAACAACTGATTTGGGTCTAACTTCAAATAGCAAAGGTCTAATTTTGAGAGGTTCTAATAATATGAATATTTGAAAATATGAATATTTGAGGGTCTAATAACAAACTAAAATGTTTGAACGTCTACTATGAATATTAACATTTGAGGGTCTAATATGAAGTTAAGAGAAATGCAAGGGTCTAATATAAGAAAATCCATTGTTCATAAACTCTGTTAGACAATTATATATATCTTGAACATAGGAAGGGTAAAAAAAAAAGAAAAAAAAAATACCCCTATACACCCCGCCAAAACAAATTTCTTTTATTCTACTAACCCCCTTGAACTTTGGTGTGCCTCACAAGACCCCTTAAACTTTAGAACTTTTCCCATGTTACTCTCTAACACTGTTAATGGATTAACAAGCTACACAATCAAAATAATGGTTAGCCATGGCATCAACAAAGATTTTTTGATATACCCTCAAATTTCATTGGGGCACATAGGAACAAAAAAAAAAATGTTCACGGGGTTTTGTGGGAAGAGCCTCAAATTTGGGTGTAACTTTTTTGATTTGGCAAGAGATAATAGCATGTTAACTCTCTGTCACCTATTGAGCATTCTTAGGATAAACTTAATTGGAAAAAAAAAAAAAATTTCTAACACCATTCCATTTTGGGTGGAAGGGAAGTAGCTTTTTTTTACCAGCACTTTATCAATAGAAACCGATCGACGCTAAAGATTCTTGATTAGGATAAAAGAAATGGATATTTCTTTTGAAGCATTTTGCTTAGTGATTTAGCTGGTTATGTGTCAAAGACTCTAGCAATGGAAGCAGGGGGGGAAATCCAAGAAGGGTTGCAAGAGAATCACTTTAAACAGCAGCTTGCAGCAACTGTTAGAAATTTGCGGTGGAGCTATGCAATCTTTTGGTCTGCTTCATCTAGACAACAAGGGTATGGAGTTTATTTATTAACTCTTATTGACTCTTCTATTCTTCAAGTTCATATTCTTTTTTTCCTCATCTGTGTTTCCTATGAAACTGAGTAGAGCTCTATATCAGGGTCATCATGGGTTTATTCAATTGTAATCTAATGTCGTTTTGAAATGCTTAGTTGTTACAGGGATTTTCTTTGTGTTTTCTCTGCAATATGCTAATGGAAATGGTCAGAATTTCATTTGTACATGTTGCCAGTGCATCTCCTTTGGTAAATTGAGAAGCTTTTTCTTTATCTTGATCATCTTTTTATGCTTATGAATTAAGAATATATAAGAGAACTACAATTTGAATAGACTCTATGTTTTGTGGTAAGTCCCAAACTTTTCAAATTCCAGGCATGCAAATGATGCTCGACATTCAGGGAATTTGTGAAGTTAAGAAGAAGGCCATGTATCAATTGCTTTTATATTTTCCTAATATTTTATTTATTCTTGGCTTACATTTTTTGCTATATTGATAATTTCTAATGCACTGAGGAATATCTGCATCTGATTCTTCCGATAATTGAACAGTTAGAGATTATCTTATTTGTGTAATCCTTTTCAATTTGCCTGTTTACAGTCAATTAGTAATTCATTCATCTTTGCCTGAGTTCAGTCCATGTTTTAAGTGTTTTTTTCCTTGTCATGACTCTTACATCATGAATATGCAACTTTAATTGGAATTCCTTTTAAGCGTGTCTTTGATGTTATTTTATTTCTTATTTACCCATGTTGTTGAGTTCCAGGGTATTATCATGGGCTAATGGATACTACAATGGCGACATAAAAACTAGGAAGACGACTCAACCGATGGAATTTAAAGCTGATCAGCTTGGTCTTCAGAGAAGTGAGCAACTGAGAGACCTTTATGAATCTCTCTCAGCAGCTGAAAACAATCAGCAAACCAGAAGGCCATCTGCTTCATTATCTCCTGAAGATTTAACTTCTACCGAATGGTACTACTTGGTTTGCATGTCCTTCACATTCAATCCAGGACAAGGGTATGCAAAATATTTGTTTTTAAAATAATATTTCCCACCATTTTCACTGAAATTAAATTTGGCCTAACATAATTTTTCTCATATTTCCACCAGGTTACCAGGTAGAGCCTTAGCAAACAATCAGCATATATGGTTGAATAATGCACAATTCGCAGACAGCAGAACTTTCTCAAGGTCTCTTTTAGCAAAGGTTAGGCCTTTTCCTATGAGTTTTACTGAGTTTCTCATGTTGAACATAAAATTATCTAATGGCTTCTCTTTGTTCTGTTGTGTTCAAACTCTGTGGATTGACTGTTTTGTGTTCTGTCTCAATTCAGAGTGCATCAATTCAGGTATATCAGTTCTTGTTAACTATTTAAATTGAATATTCTGCCATTGGGATTTTCAGTTCCCTTGTTTAATAGACTCTTTGACAAGACAAAGAGAGTTTTCTTATGTCATTCTAGATCTCTATGATTATGTTTTCACTTTTATGTGCATTGTTAATAAGGTTCAAAGCTGTTATGGATGACTTTGTTTCCCTCTTATTTGCAGACAGTGGTCTGCTTTCCCTTCATGGATGGTATTCTGGAGCTTGGTACAACTGAACAGGTAATTTTCTCCGACTGCATCATTTCAAAAGTGTCGATAACTCCACTTGACTCTCATTTAACTTCATTTTTTTTTCTGATTTCAACTTCATACGAACATCTTAAGGTTTTGGAGGATTCCGTGCTAGTACAGCAAGTCAAAACAACCTTCTGGGATTTTCCCATCCCTGTTTGCTCTGAACAATCTATATCAAGTTCGCCAAACGTAGAAAAGGATGAAGAGGAAACCATACACCCAACTCTTGATCATGATCAACTAATAGAAGATGCAATGGAATTGGAGAATGACAACTTGATACCTGAGGATATTCTATTACCTTTTGCTTTTAATTTTCCTTCTTATGCTCCTACCAAAAATGTTGATGCAATTCATGACGAAGTGGAGGAGCTAAATCCAAAAATATGTGAGGAAATACAAAATGGTTCTCCCGGTGGAAGTTCAAACGATTACTGCACGAATCATCACACTGATGATTCTTTAAGGATGGATGAATTACAAAGTTGTATGTCCCAATCCTTCGTGAATTCTCAAAGGATTCTTTCTTCTCCAAGGGGTGAAAGGATAAGGAATCATGTTTTAGATTGCCTTCAAGAAGGAAACAATGCATATTTGACCTCCCTAGATCTTGAAGGTGATGAGACTCACTACGAAAGGACTCTTTCTGTGATTTTAACAAACTCAAAGGGGTCGGTCTCAGATTCATGCTTCCTTAATGGATCTCAAGCATCCAATTTTACACATTGGAGAAGAGATTTCACCATTCCAAAACCAACAAGTGACACACCTCAGAAACTCTTGAAGAAGATTTTGGTTGGTGCATCTTGGATTCAGGATTATCTTCGATCATTGAAACCGCCAGAAGAAAATGGGATTAGGAATAATGTTTGCAAGCCAGAAGGAGATGATACAAGCGGTAATCATGTGTTATCAGAGAGGAGAAGAAGAGAGAAGCTGAATGAAAAGTTCCTCATTCTCAGATCACTCGTTCCTTCCATTAGCAAGGTAATTGTACTAACAATCATTAAAACTGTTTCTGGCTAAACCTTGAAAACTTTTTCCAAAAGTACTATTCGTCACAACTAGAACAACAGAAGTTCACATTTTATGCATCATGTTGCATATTGACTATTCATTAATGAAATTTGGTAGGTAAGGATCCTAAGATTTTGAGAGTAAATTATTCTAAATAATCATGGATCTCGAACTTCGTCACAATATGCTTTTTGGGTGTAGTAAAGACTTCCAAGAATAGAAGTTTTTTTCATAGTAAAATTTGATGGATGTTGTGCGTGGCGCGGAAGCGGGACAACCAAACAGGCGTGCTTCGAGAACCAAATCAAACAAACGTCGAGATAAAGGCTAAACAAATCAAAACAACGGCACAACAAACAAACGTCGAGATAAAGGCTAAACAAATCAAAACAACGGCACAAATCCAAACACAATAGTTTTACGTGGTTCGGCAAACAACGGCACAAATCCAAACACAATAGTTTTACGTGGTTCGGCAAATTGCCTACGTCCACGAGGCAAGAAGGGGATTGGGTTTTCACTAATAGAGAAGAAAAGTACAAACTGAGATTACAAAACGCTCAAACCAATCAACTAATCTCACCAACAAATCTCCTAATCTCTCCAAATAAACCATCAAACAATTGCTCAGAAACACACTCCTTTTTCTGTGCTCCAAATATCCCCAAACCAATCTCCAAACAAAGCCAAAGAAATCCTAATTCGTATGTTGGTATTTATAGCAAACACCAAACCCAATAAGAACAAGAAACACAAAACAGGCCCTGACCCGATTGGCTGTCGACCGCCCAAAGCTCGCGCTCGATCGCGATTCAGCGACAAAGATCAAATTCGCCTACAGGGTCTTGCGGTCGACCGCGCCAAATCCAGACTCCTACTCTGGCTTGTGCACGTTCGCAGTTGACCGACCTTGCGTCGCGGTCGACCGCGCAGCACCCAAAACGACTCATGCGCCTCCAAACCTGTTCTGATCCAAAATTTCTCGCCGATTCTACAATTCTCCACCTCGGCGAAGTTTCTTCCAAAAACTGAGCCGACACCGATCAAACCAAATGCCTCACTTGTTACGTCCAGTACGAAGTGAAATGATTCACGACAACGGACTCAATCCACAACAAGTCGAGACCCAAACGGGAGTGCGAACACTCTCCCAAACATCGGTATCTACTTACCAAATCGGCTGCATCAAAACTGACTGCCTACGTATCCTCTTGCCCAAAGAATTAAGCCTTCACGTAGTTTACCCAAACGGCCTCCAAAGGCCCTCAAACAAATAGAAAAGTCTGCAACTGTTCACCAATATCATCTGCATCCAAATCCAAATGATCCCCAATCTGTGTCACCTCAGCTGGAATCCCAAACGATGCAGTATAATCTGGAGTATGTGGAGTAAACTCCACCTAATGTGGAGTAGCATCACCCTCCACCTGCTGCGATATCCAAACGACCTGATCAATACTCTCTACCTGCCGAGAGTCAAAAAGTGACATACCTGCTCAGAATAAAATCAGAAGCTCCCAACCGATAATCAAATAAGCCTCTGAATCCCAAACGCGAAATCGGATCAAATCTCACATCCTCGATGTGACCAAATGTTGGGTAACCAAATATCCAACGCTAACCAAAATCTGAAGCAGCTCCACCAGATCCAATAACTCCAAATGTCGCAGTCGGTAACCTATGACTAAGATGCCCCAAATATGTCGAACCTCCTAAACCAAAACCAATGCTCGACAACCAACACCGATCCCCCTCCAGAAAGGAACAACCAATAAAAAATATCACTGTATCTCATCGCCACAATGTTTCCTCTCTAATGAAGTGTCTTAAACTTCCATGAGCTCGGCACAAATGCAGAAATAGGTCCCTCTTGCACCTCCCGCTAAAATCAGAATGAAGTACATTCACCTTCTGCCAATACACTTCTTTAACTGTGGTTGACTACTAGTGTTAGACCCTATTGCTACTAGGAAAGAACCCTTGAAGGGGGGAGGGGGGTGAATAGGGTTTATACTAATCTAATCCGATTTAAATATCAATTAAAACTTATTAACAAATATATTCTTGCAAGATAGATATACAACTAATTATGAGCAAGAATATGCAATATGAACAAAGGGCTATATCCTAGCAATAAGATATACTATGAGATATATGCAAGGATATACAAAACACTCAAGGATAAACAAACTAAACTAGATAGTGGGTTATATAAACAATGAGCAATATACAAAGGCGATATAAGATATGAACATAAAAAAAATAAGTGTGTCAATGCAATCACAAACAAATGATATGTTCACGAGGTTCGGTCCCCACGACCTACGTCCCCGCTCCTCACCTCGAGGAGATCTCCACTATCACACCGGGTTTTTTACGCTTACCCGAAAAATGTTTACACCTTAAAATACGGTTTTCTAGCTAACCGAAAACTTTACAATCCATACTCACAATGTAACTACACTAACTACCACCTCAAGTGTTGGTCTCTAGTCCGTGTCTCCCTCAAGTGTTAGAAATTATAACCTCTCTCTAGGCATTACCACCTACCCCACTCCTTTTGGGATGATCCCGTCTGTCACCACACACTCCTCTTGGTGTACTAGTATATTACAAAGTGATCCTCACAATTAAGCATAATAACAACAAATGATTTGTTCTCTACAATGAACGAGAACTCAATTAGGCACAACTCAAAGTTACTATCTCTCACAACCCCAAATATATTATGAATGCAAATACAATAAGCTCAAGTGAGTGTGTGTAACAATGAGATTAATTAAATCTAAACTCAATATAAAACTAGCTTTAATAAGATGATAATCAAACAAATATATAAAAGTAAAGCTAGATATGAGTTTAGAAAACTTCTCAATAGATCAAGAGAGTGAGGGAGAAGAGTTGGATGCTCAAACACTGATGGATGATCTTCCTCAAACCCTTGTGAAATTGTTTTCACAAAACAAACTCTCAAACGCTTAAAAGCTTTTTAAACAAACACTAAACAAAACTTCAAACTCTTGTTAAACCTTCTTAAAACATTCTCTTGGTTGTTTTGAAAGATGAGAGCAATTGGGGTATTTATAGAAACCCAAAACATCAGTAGAAACCCAAGCAAAATGACAAAAAAAACCAAATCCCACAAAATCTAGAAAGTACATAAATATAACCGTTGTTGATCGGCGG